GAGTGGTTTATCATTTCTGAAACAAGTTATGTCAAAATTGATTTTGAAAGCGTTGCTTTTCATAGAAATACATGAAAACTTATTTAAAGTTCTATTTGGAATAATGTGGAATTATTTTAAAGAACTTTGGTCATAAATAGGAAAAGTGAAGAATGGTTCTAGTATTAAATTCTTATCTCTTACTGATTTTTGAGTTAAGAATTGTTATATGCTAGAATACAAGGATAGGAGTATAAACATGAGAAGAAAAAAGAATAAAGTAGATTGAGTCTCCAATTTTTATGTAAGCTTCAGAAGGACTGTGTTTATGTACAAAGCTTATGGTTGAAATATCTTTCAGGAATTATATGAATGACAGTCTTCGAACGAATGTATTTGTTCGATTTCAACCAGAGACAATAGCATGTGCTTGTATCTACCTTGCAGCTAGAGCCCTTCAGGTAGGTATATATAGCCTGTTTTGTTCTATAGGATAAATCTCAAGAATTAGCATTCTCGATATAAACTGAAATTTGATCCAAACCATTCTGTTTTTATGGTTTAGATTCCATTACCAACTCGTCCCCATTGGTTTCTTCTTTTTGGTACTACGGAAGAAGAGATCCAAGAAATCTGCATAGAAACACTTAGGCTTTATACCAGAAAAAAGGTAGTAGTTTACTCATGTTTGTGTTAATACTTTTTAAGTACTTAAAAGAGTTTCAACTAATATAAGGTAAAAATACTAACTTCATTTTTTTCCATCAGCCAAACTATGAATTGCTAGAAAAAGAAGTAGAGAAAAGAAAAGTAGCCTTACAGGAAGCCAAATTAAAAGCAAAGGGATTGAATCCCGATGGAACTCCGGCCCTTTCAACCCTTGGTGGATTTTCTCCAGCCTCCAAACCATGTAAGATATATTCAGAATTAAAATGATTTGAACACAGCAGGTGTGTGGTTATTAGAAAGCTTTAGCAATTAGGAGCTCCTCGGTGGCTCAGTCAGTTGAGCATCTGACTCCTGATTTCGGCTTAGGTCATGATCTCAGGGTCATGAGATCCAGCCCTGTGTCAAGGCTCCATACTCAGTGCAGAGTCTGCTTGAGATTTTTCTCTCCCCCTGCCCACCCCCATAGGTAAATGAATAAAACCTCTTTAAAAAAAAAAATAGCATTACTTAATAGTGGCATAGAAACAGTGATACGAGAAGCTGTTACTGTTTTCTTTCATGATCGCTCAAGACTAATACTTGAAAGCATGGTACTTTGAGTTACATTTAGAAACAACTTTTTGGTCCTCTGTTAAATCCCAACAGGTAACATGTCTTTTTGTTTTTTGTTGGTTTTTTGTTTTTGTTTTTAAAGCATCACCAAGAGAAGTGAAGGCTGAAGAGAAGTCACCAATATCCGTTAATGTGAAGACTGTCAAGAAAGAACCTGAGGACAGACAGCAGGCTTCCAAAAGCCCTTACAATGGGTGAGTATACTTGACTTAGAAAACCGGTCTAAAGAATTTTCTTTGTATTTAATTTCTAACATACTAAACATGTATCTAAAATAATGATTTTTTTTTTTTTAAGTGTAAGAAAAGACAGCAAGAGAAGTAGAAATAGCAGGAGTGCTAGTCGATCAAGGTCAAGAACACGATCACGTTCTAGATCACATACTCCAAGAAGACAGTAAGTAAATACTCTTGAAGAGAAAGCAGTCATATTTGGAGTAAAAGTTCTTGCTTTTTAAAAAAATTGAGCCTAGATGTTTTCACAGTTGGGCTAGATTTAGTTTTTTAACATGAGATACATTATGAGAAAAGGAGTTTTGAAATATGTCCTGCCTATATGTGGCTTTTTGTTTTGGGGTGGTGTAGCTTACCAAGTACTCTATTCTGTCTTTGCCCATTTTTTTGAAGTGTAGGGGCTGGCCACAAATTGCTGTGGAAAGCTATGATAATCCTGTTTATAATGTGTGAAAATGGTTGTTTTGTTCAATTTCAGTTAGAAAATACTAATATTTTATTAACTGTTTAATAACAACCAAAACTCAAGTTGATCATAACCAGAGTCTTTCCTGGTTAGCTTTGTAATTAGATTGATAGCTGCTTGTGTCTGTTCAGTGGCTCTTTGAACATGTGTGAGATACTCAATAAAAAGCATAGCTATCCAGGATGCTTTGTAAAAATTTTGGCATATAGATACAATACAGTACATTTAAGATTTCTCTAATATAGGCTGCATGGGAGTTAGTGGGGAGTAGGGAGATTAATGGAAGTTTTCCATCTGACATGTACTGCTACATGCTGCAGGTCAGTAGTTTTGTTTTGAACCTGTTATAAGCACCACCAAAATAATCTGCTCTCAGCAGAAGCTGAATCTAAACCTCAAATTTTTATTATCTAAGTTATAATAATAGGCGGAGCCGATCTGGAACATACAGCTCAAGATCAAGAAGCAGGTCCCGCAGTCACAGTGAAAGCCCAAGAAGACATCATAATCATGGTTCTCCTCACCTTAAGGCCAAGCATACCAGAGATGATTTAAAAAGTTCAAATAGACATGGTCATAAAAGGAAAAAATCTCGTTCTCGATCTCAGAGCAAGTCTCGGGATCATTCAGATGCTGCCAAGAAACACAGGCATGAAAGGGGACATCATAGGGACAGGCGTGAAAGGTCTCGCTCCTTTGAGAGGTCCCATAAAGGCAAGCACCATGGTGGCAGTCGCTCAGGACATGGCAGGCACAGGCGCTGACTTTCTTCCTTTGAGCCTGCATCAGTTCCTGGTTTTGCCTGTCTACAGTGTGATGTATGGACTCATAATCAAAAATATTAAAAGTGAATTGATTAGGATTTGATTTTGTAAAACCCTCTAGGTTTCTAGAAACACTGAGGACATTTCTTTTGGAAAGAACTATTGTTTTTTCTGTTTTTATTTTCCTTTTGGTTTTTGTTTTTGGGGGTTTTTTTGTTTTGTTTTTCTTTTTCTTTCTCTTTTCTTTTCTTTTTTTTTTTTTTTTTTTTTTTTTTTTTTTTTTTTTTTTTTTTTGCACATTAAAATGCCCTAACAGTATCTAATTGAAAACCATGGTCAGGTTCAAATGTACTTATTATAGTTGTGTATTGTTTATTGCTATAAGAACTGGAGCGTGAATTCTGTAAAAATGTATCTTATTTTTATACAGATAAAATTGCAGACACTGTTCTATTTAAGTGGTTATTTGTTTAAATGATGGTGAATACTTTCTTAACACTGGTTTGTCTGCATGTGTAAAGATTTTTACAAGGAAATAAAATACAAATCTTGTTTTTCTAAACTGCTTCAAATATCTTATTTAAATAAATTATTAAAAAGAGTGAAATTTTAATAGTAAAGTGCCTGTACTGATTTTATGACCTATTCTATTAGTTCTGGTTTAGATTATTAAATGCAGTTATTACCTGCATTGGGAGCTATTGCAAAAGTCTTTGCCTTATACATGGACAAAACAAATGGGAGCTGTGCAACAATGTAATATTAAATGTTACATTGTAGCACTAAACCAGTCTCCAAATTGAAATCTGTTTGCACATAAATAGTACTTAAAATTAAGAAATGGTACCATATGATTATTTTAAGTGAGCTGCCCTCTTGAACAAATCAAAACTTTTAAAATGACACTAAATCAGACCTATTGACCTTTCAAGTTCTTTTTAAAATTATATTAGATATTTAGTGATAGTTTTTATTTAGGCTAGGAAGATTCAGTAGTAAAATGAGGCTCCACTGGACTTGGCTGGGGCTGATAAAAAGTATGATCACAAAATGAAATTTGTTGACAGAGCCACAAGTCCTTATATTCAAATGAATACTTAAGTTATTCACACTGAGAGTTATTTTCCCAATAATTTGCAAGTGAATTTAGAGAGCATAAGCAGGGAGGGATAAAGAGGGGGAGAGAAACTCAAAGCAGATTTCACATGGGACCAGATGTTGGGCAGTCCCACAACCCTGCATGACCTGAGCTGAAACCAAGAGTCAGATGCTCAACTCATTGAGCCACCCAGATGCCCCTGAATCTAGAAATCGTAGAAGGCCATACATGATCTCATTATTTTATAGTTAAAACAGGTTTTTCCATTAATTTTTTAACACACCTGATAGCTTGATAATTCGTCCACTAGACTTGGCTCCAAATGATTTTTTGGTGTATCAAAAAGTGAAATAGATCTACAAAGAGATTTGTTGTCACTAAGGATGTTTAAAAGAAAAAAAAAAAAAAAAAACTGCTGAAGAGGATTCCAAAGACTTAAAACAGGTTCACCAGTGGTGGGCAGTGGGGCTGGGAAAAGAAAAGGCAGCTACATTGAAGGAGACAAGACTCATTTTGATTTTTAAAATGTTGGGTGTGCTACTTAAATAAGTTCTATATCTAACTAGAAACTAACATGACCTAGTATAAAAGAGTAACTTCTGAAAGGAGGTGAATAGCATTAAGAACATTCTTTCTAGGGGTGCCTGGATGGCTCAGTGGGTTAAGCCTCTGCCTTCGGCTCAGGTCATGATCTCGGGGCCTTGGGATCCAGCCATGCATCGGGCTCTCTGCTCAGCAGGGAGCCTGCTTCCCCTTCTCCCTGCCTGCCTCTCTGCCTACTTGTAATCTGTCAAATAAAATCTTTAAAAGAAAAACGTCCTTTCTATATATGATTTTGTAATACTGCTAAACTATAGCTGTTTCTTAAGAGCCTAAACTATATCTAAACAGGAACTATTTCCTTTACAAGATAGGCATTGAAGAAAGACAAAGGCAAAAGTCAGCAAAGGCCCTGTTTGTTACAGTCTTGAACTCTTAATAGTTTTTAAATTTTTACCTACTTACCCTTGTTTGGAAAGAGCACTATGGGTGAGGTTTGTGAAGATGGAAGAGGCAGGGAACACATCTGCATGTGGGGTGAGATTTGTATTGGCAGAGATGGCTTTGGCAGAGATGGCTTTTTCCAGGTATCCTAATTTTTGCCTTGTGCAACAGGCCAAAAAAAAAATAAAAAACATTTTCTAGGTTTTGTCAAGAAGTTGACATCCTGCTACTGCTCTACCTGAATTTATAAACTGAAGTATATCAATTTTTGAACTTCTATTAAGGAAATTTTCCAGTAGAAGTAGTACAATACTCCTATCTCAGCTCCAAAAGTGATCAGTTCATGGTCAGCCTACCTTGTTCATACCTACCAATTCACCATTCTACTTTGCACGCTTATTTGGAAGAAAATCCCAGACAACTGATACCATCCCCAATTATTTCAGTCTAAAAGGTAAGGATTTAAACATAACCACAGTACTTTTATTATACTTAACAGTAATGCCTAACTACCCAGTCAATATCCAGATTATCCTTACTATCTCTTAATTTATTTTTATATTAGGATGTTCAAGCAAAGTCCATATATGTTACATTGGTTTTAATCACAGATTCTCCCACCCTTTTACCCTTAAAATTGTTCTGAGATCATTTTCATATTCTGGGTTTGCTCACTGTAACCCTGTGGAATCCCTGGACATACATTTCTGTCTCCTGTATTACAAACTTCATAGATCTCAAGACTTGGTCAGATTCAGATTTGGTAACTTGTCTTTTTTTTCTTATTTTTTTTACTAGTCTGAAATTTTAGAAGTCTGGCAACCCAGGCTGTGTTACTCTACAAGTGTTACTGGACGGCTGCCTCATTGACTAGCTGTTTCACTGAGTTCCTGATTTTTTTTTTTTAAGATTTTATTTATTTATTTGACAGACAAAGATCACAAGTAGGCAGAGAGGCAGGCAGAGAGAGAGGAGGAAGCAAGCTCCCCGCGAAGCAGAAAGCCCGACGTGGGGCTCCATCCCAGGACTCTGAGATCATGACCTGAGCTGAAGCAGAGGCTTTAACCCACTGAGCCACCCAGGGGCCCCTGAGTTCCTGATTCTTAATTAGTGCCTGCACCTTGATAGCTTTGTGTGCCTATTTCCCAACTCTGTATATGTTCTCTCATTATCTTGTGTTTCCCCTGTATAGCCCTAAGTTGTAATGCAAATGAGTTGTTTAGTATTTGTTCTAATGATCTGATTCTAAATACTTAAGTCCTTTCATGGTATAGAATGTTACATTTGTCCTTAATGATTGGTATCTTAACCTTAAAGAAAGACTAGTAAATAGCATCAAAATGACTGCCTTTTTACTGAGGTCTAAGTTTTGAGGTGTTTTTTTTTTTTTAATTTTTTATTTTTTTATTAACATATAATGTATTATCAGCCCCAGGGATACAGGTCTGTGAATCGCCAGGTTTACACTTCACAGCACTCACCATAGCACATAACTTCCTCAATGTCCATAACCTAACCACCCTCTCCCTACCCCACTCCTCCTGGCAACCCTCAGTCTGTTTTGTGAGATTAAGAGTCTCTTATGGTTTGTCTCCCTCCCGATCCCATCTTGTTTCATTTATTCCTTTCCTACCCCCCAAACCTCCCACGTTGCCTCTCAACTTCCTCATATCAGAGAGATCATATAATTGTTTTTCTCTGATTGACTTATTTCGCTAAGCATAATACCATCTAGTTCCAACCACATCCTGGCAAATGGCAAGATTTCATTTCTTTTGATGGCTGCATAGTATTCCATTGTATATATGTACACATCTTCTTTATCCATTCATCTGTTGATGGCTATCTTTCCATAGTTTGGCTATTGTGGACACTGCTGCTATAAACATTTGGGTGCATGTGCCCCTTCGGATCACTAATTTGTATCTTTAGGGTAGTGTGATTGTTGGGGCATAATGTAGCTCTGTTTTCAACTTTTTGAGGAACCTCCATGCTGTTTTCCAGAGTGGTTGCACCAGCTTGCATTTCCACCAACAGTGTAGGAGGGTTCCCCCTTTTTCCGCATCCTTGCCAGCATCTGTCATTCCCTGACTTGTTAATTTTAGCCATTCTGACTGGTGTGAGGTGGTATCTCATTGTGGTTTTGATTTTTATTTCCCTGATGCCAAGTGATGTGGAGCACTTTTCATGTGTCTTTTGGCCATCTGGATGTCGTCTTTGCAGAAATGTCTGTTCATGTCCTCTGCCCATTTCTTGATTGGATTATTCTTTGGGTGTTGAGTTTGCTAAGTTCTTTATAGATTTTGGATACTAGCGCTTTATCTGATATGTTGTTTGCAAATATCTTCTCCCATTCTGTCAGTTGTCTTTGGTTTTGTTAACTGTTTCCTTTGCTGTGCAAAAGCTTTTTTTTTTAATTTTTTTTTTAAGATTTTATTTATTTGACAGAGATCACAAGTAGGCGGGGGGGGGGGGGGCGGGGAGCACGCTCCCCGCAGAGCAGAGAGCCTGAGGTGGGGCTCAATCCCAAGACCCGGAGATCGTTACCCGAGCCAAAGGCAGAGGCCAAACCCACTGAGCCACCCAGGCATCCCTGTGCAAAAGCTTTTGATCTTGATGAAGTCCCAATAGTTCATTTTTGCCCTTGCTTCTGTTCCCTTTGGAGATGTTCCTAGGAAGAAGTTGCTGTAGCTGAGGTCAAAGAGGCTGCTGCCTGTGTTCTCCTCGAGGAGAAAGCTGTTTTATAAAGCTTTAAATATTTGTTACCATGAGTTAGTAACCACATTTATTATACCCACAGCCTGCATCAAAAGCCATTCTTTAAAAATTTAAAGGTAGCTCTCATGAGTTTCCAAAAACAAGGGAATTTCATAATATTCATTGTCCTAAGGGCCATTTCTTAGGGCTGTAATAGATAATGGTGACGTTTTTGGTTTTTTTTCCTTAAAGACCAGGTTTTTCCAGAATTCATGATAAAATCATAGGCGTATTGGGAGCTTAGTTTAGCGGGATGAGAGAAGATGTACATGGGGTTTGATAAGGAAAACCATCACTTCCCCACTGGGGAAATTGGGATGGGGGGCAGTATTCATTGGTTGGGCTTTGATCCCTGCATGTCCCCTAGAGTAGCTATGTGTGTGGCTGGAAGTCACAGCTTGACTTTGTAGCCACTTGAATTTTGTTCATTGAAATTTTGTTAATGAAAGGAAGATGGACTTCATACCCCTCCACTAAGGGGACTTGGCAAGTTACTTAACCTCATCAGCCCTTGGCCTTACCTCAGAGCATTTTGTTTGACTATATATTGGGCAAATATAAAGGTTAATTTTAGCTTAAAATTCAAACAGTTTCTTATATGAAAGCACCCCAACTACTTCCTATGACACAGTTCAAAATAGAGTAATTTCAGAATGTTACTTCACCAAAGTTAGATCTGATTCTGGACAAGATTTTCATGAGAACACTGGTCCAGGTGTTCTCTCAACCCTTCTGTTTTTGCCACTGATGGTTAGTTTACATCTAACCCAGTACCACATACAGAGGAAATTGCTACTCTGCCTGCTTTTATATGTCACCCCATTCCTTTCATCAGCTATCACCTCACACTATGGTAGCAGCATTTCTGTCTATGCCCTTGCCACAGTCTTTCAAACAGCAGCTAATCTAGTTAAAACGTTAATCGTGTTCCTCTAATACATAATGCTTCCAATGATTTCCCCTTCCCTTGGAATACAATACAAACCCCTGACTCTGGCTGTACATAATCCAATGTTTGTTAGCCTCTTCATCAACCAACCCCTGTTTCTCCTTCTCATATATGCACATCTATTCCTCAGCCTTTGCATTTGTCTTTCCTACTTGGGATGCTCTCCCAAATCTTATGCCCTGGCTCCATCATCCATGTGCCCTTCCACAGGCGGCTTCTCTCACACCGTATCCAAAATAAGCATCTCTTGACACCACTCTCATCATGTTCTATTCCTTAGCACTAATTTTTTCCTAAAACCACTATCTGAAATTACCTTAGTTTTATCATTGACTCTTACTCATAAGAATATAAGCTTCAAGAGAGCAGTAAAAAGTGGTTCATTATCGTATGCCCCTCATCTAATCCTACAACTGTGCCTGACCCCATAATAGGGTGTGTAGTAAATACTGAGGAATGAATGAGTTTCACTTACTGCTAATATGGATGTTTTTAAGCCCTCAACTTTCAATGTGTTCTTTATCCAACTGCCCCTCTATGAATGTATGTATTCCTTTCACAGGGTTCTAGGTTCCTGGAGCTCGAAACGGAGACCAGAGACCTGTAAACAACAGCCAAGGAGTAGCAAACTGGTAGGCCATGGCCAAATCCTAGCTTGCGCGTGTATTTGGTTTGTGCAATGTTAGTTTTAAATGAACTAGCTCCTACATATTTTTATTGAAAGTAGTCACATAAAAACCTAAACTTTCAGCTTCTTTTTTAAAAAATATATGAGATCCACAATCCCTGGCATCAACTGACTGGCCCCAAGTAGCTCTCTGGTTGGGGTGCACACATACCAATGCATCATAGCTCCTTCTCTTCCCTCTTAATCACAGCACTGACGCCGCTGAAGCCAGCTGTCAGTTTGCATCCGTCAGTGTGCTGACAGTGGTATTTTTCTTGAATCCTGCTCTTTTTGTTCGTTGGTGTTACCTGCCTGGTCTTTTTGCAGTAGACCCCTGACGTCACAGAGGATAATCCAAGACCTCCACAAATCTCCACGTCTGTGAAAGTGGCCATATGCATACTGTGCCCAACCTCTCTCTACTGGCTGACCGGTATTCTATGGCTAACATTTTCAAACTGGAATTTCTCCTTTGACAAGCTTTTGCATTGCTGGAGTGCTTGTGGAAAAACTCCGCAAGTGGATTCTTCCTGTTTTTATACAGAGCATTTGACACATCAGATCTTTGTCCACAGCACAAAGACAAGGCACATCATAAATCTAAGCCACCATGAGGTTCAGTATTTTCCACCCTAAATTACAAAACTACCTGCTCAAAATGTTTTATTTCCTTGGATCTTCTCAAGCAAACCAAGTCTTATTCATTTAATAATTGCTGCAACATGGATTAACAATGTACAATGACATCATGTTGAAACTGGTTAGTCCTGGCAGACGATATTTTCCACACAAGTGAAATGAAGAGCAAATTAATTTTTGACTTACTTGAAAATAGTCAAATTACAAATGTCAGGTGTCGCCATAATTACACTAAACCTGATGAAGGCTACCATGATAGGTTTCTACCTAGAGAAATAAAGGCAGAGAAAGTCTCGATGGCTAGATATGTGGCAAATATCCACATATAATTAATACTTGCTTGCAGGGTACTTGCTTTCCAGTTGGAGGCCATTTTTTAAAAAGCCAAATCACATCCAAAGTAATCCAAATAATATCCAAAATAATCTTCAGTATAGTTTAGGGCCAGGCAAGCAGTATAATGAGTGCTGAGTTTAAAGAAGGAAGAGGAACCCCTGTGGCCTAAAAGACCCTGGAAAGTTTTCACAGGGAACAGGAAACATGCGGGGTGCCTGGGATGGGAAAGAGTTTGAAAGACCAAGAAGGAAAGGCAATGTAATACTGAGGTAGCGTGTAAGGGGGACTGTGGAGTGCGTGCTGGGGGGAACACCAGCCCTGTGTGGCCAGAGAAGACAGGCAATAGTGGACTTAAGGAGTCAGACTGCTGGCGGTCACTGTTTTTATCTAATTTTGTACACACTACTTAATGTCTCCAAACTTCCATTTCCCATCTGAAGAGTGAGTCATTGAGTCTGCTGTATTCAGATGGTACAAGGGTTAAAAGACATGATGTATGTATGTGGTGCACTTAGCACAGTGTTAGACCTGTAGTGAATGGTCAGTCAGTGGTATCACCATTTTAGCATTGTCAGAGGCCTGTGGATGCCAGACTGTGGTGACTTGTAGACCAGAGAGCCACTGTGTTAAGCAGGTGGGTGACTATTAACTTCCTAGGGTCACTGTAACAAATTACCACATACTTGCTGGCTTAAAAAAAATGGATTCTCTCACAGTTTTGGAGGCTACAAGTCTGAAATCAAGGTGTTAGCAGGGCCGTGCTCCCTTTGAAGGTTCTAGGGAACAATCCTTCCTTGACTCTTTCTAGCCACTTGGTGGCTCCCAGCTGTCCCTGGCATTCCATGGCTCGTAGCCATGTCATTGCATTTTCTGCCTCCCTCTTCATGTGGCCTTTTCTCTCGGTGTATGTCTTCTCCCCTCTTTATAAGGACACCAGTTACTGGATTTGGGCCCCACCCTAATCCAGTATGACCTCATCTAATTACAGCCACAAAGACACTATTTCCGAATAAGGTCACATTCTAAGGTTCTAGATGAAATGAATTTGGGGGAGGTGGGGGACACTTTTCAACCCACTGCAGTGACATAAGAAAACCAAGTTGAAAAAAACTGAAATGAACATTTTTTTAACTTTCATTTTGAAATAATTTCAGGCTTACAAAATACAAGTTGTAAAAATGGTACAAAGAATTCCTGTGTAGCCTTCACCCAGATTTCCCAACTTGCTTCATCACTCTCTCTCCCTCTGCATGTGTGTATGTACTGGATTTTCTGATACATTTGAGAGTAAGTTGCAGTCATGATGTCCCCTTACCTGTATTTTAGTGTATACTCCCTAAAAATAAGGATCTTTATCTTACATATCCATAGTAGGATTATCGAAGTCAGGAAATTAAAAAAAAAATTATATTGACCTAATCAAATATTACCAGTTTTCCTACCAATGCCCTTTTCTGGTCCAGGATCCAATCTAGAATCACATATTGCCTTTAATTTACTTTCTTCTGAAATAGTTCCTCAGTTTGTCTGTCTTCCATGACCTCAACCTTTTTTGTTTTGAAGAGCTTTATTTTTTCCAACATTATAGCTTGATACATTTCAAACCTCTAAGGAAAATTAAGAGTAGTAGCAACCAGTACCTTTATATTCATTACCCAAGTTTCATTAGTAATTATATTTTGCTACACACGCATGATTTCTCTGGGTATATATATGTAGCCACATATTTTTGTTTTCTGAACCATTTAAGTCACTTCACCCTTAAATACTCTAACACATACCACCAAAGATCGAGGACATTTGCCCCCATAGCCACAACTCAACTGTCATCATGGGAAATTTAACATTGATACAGATATGTAATATACAGTTATCTTAGAATTTCCCAGATTGTTGAATTTGTTGTTGTTTATAACTGGGGGTTGGTTGTTTGATGCAGGGTCCAAAGTTTATATATTGTATTTAGTTTACTATCTCCTAAGCTGCATTAATCTAGAAAATTCCCCATGATTAGGTCCATGTTTAAACATTTTTGGTAGGCACACTACATAGATGATACTGTGTTCTCAGTGTATCACTTAGCAGGCACATGTCAATTTGTCCCATTATCATTAAGTTTGGTCATTTGACTAAAGTGGTGTCTACCATAGTCCTCCATTATAAAGGTACTTTTAATCTGTACTCTGTGGGGTTATACATGAAGATTGAGTGAATTCCCTGTTCCTTGATAGTTTTCACCCATGGCTTTAGCATCCATTAATGGTCTTATCTGAATCAAGTTTTTGTTTTGTTTTATTTTTTACTATAGCAGTTGGAAAATGGTGGTTTTCTATTTCTAGCTGTTTAAACATTTGTTGGTTGGCATTCTTCTATGAAGAGAGCTTTCCCTTCATCTCTTACTATTTCAAGTATCTATAGACTCTTAAGATCTTAAAAAAAAAAAAAAAATTCCTCTCATTGTGATGCTGACATCATCCCAAATTAGGCCAGTGGAGACTCCTGTAGGCTAGCTCCTTCGACCTTTCGATATGTCCCCATTAGTTTTGGGCATTATGTTACTTTCTTGTACAACAAGATAGTCCAGGTTCGCCTTGTACTTTCTCTGCTTCAACCCCGGAACAAGCCATTCCTCTAAGAAATACAAGTTCCTGTTAGTGAGGGACCAAATTCTGGCAAAAGGTAGACTCATTGCTACTTGGTATCATCGTTTCTACGTCTTTTCGTATGAAACCTCCAATTCTACTCCATCACTATAGAGTTCTTTTGCTCCTTCCTCCCAGGGTAAAACAGGAGCTTTGTAGAATGCTCTTTAATTGAGGTCTGCCTGTTGTTTCATGGTTAGACTCAGGTTTTGTGTTTTTGGTAGGAGTACAACAGAAGTGAGGTTGTATCTTCCTCAGTGCATCAGATTAGGAGGCCCATGTTGATTGGTTCCATGACTGATGGTTTTAACTTTGGTCATCGATGGAGGTGGTGTCTATCAGTGTTCTCTACTTAAATGTTACTAGTTCCCCCTTTATAAGTAATAGTACCTTACAGAAGAGGTGTTTTGAGATCACATAAATGCTGTTTTTATCATCATTCTGCCTACTAATTTTACTGATGTTAGCCTGAAACATTTATTGAAAATGATTTTCTAATTCCAGCATTCCTTCCATATTTATTAGTTGGAATCCTACTGTAAGGAAGAGCTTTCCCTTCTTCATTTACTCATTTGTTTATGTGTATCAGTGTGTACCCATCTTGTGGGTCATAATCCATTACCATCGTTTATTTTGCTATAATTATCTAAGATGTGGCCAATAAGAATTGCTTTTAAGATAGTTCCTTTGTCCTTTGAGATGAATACTTTTTTAAAAGATTTATTTTAGAGAGAGATAGAGTACACTCAAGGGAGCACAAGTAGGGGAGAGACAGAGAGAGAGGGAGAGACAATCTCAAGCAGACTCCATGCTGAGCGTGGAGCCCAATGCAGGGCTCAGTCTAAAGACTCTGAGACCATGACCTGAGCCAAAATCAAGAGTCGGCCACTTAACCAACTGATGAATATTTTTAAGACTATTCTTCACATATGTGACTTTCCAAAATATTCACATTTGTACGTTCTCTAGGAGTGTGTTATGAGAAGCCCTTGGGCTTTCTCATCAGCACTGGCTGTAGAGGAGATAGAGTGACTTTTAAAGGTCATGGTCACCACAATGCCAACGTATAGGGCTTCTCGCGACAGTTTCCTTTTGGCCCATGACAACCTTCCTCACCCATGATCAGCTCCCATACTCCCAACAGTCTGTCTTTCCCTTACAAGAACATTTTAGTTTGCAGTACGAGTTAGCAATAGGTCCTTCTGCCCATTAGAGGTCACTTTTGGCTAGATGTGAAAGATTTCTCTCCAAATCTCTTACCAGCTGACTGGCAAGTTGTACTCTGAGCACAATAAGGATTTGTCTATTTCCAAAGGAACACTAATGTCTTTAGACGTGTCCACTTAAGCCTCATTTAAATCCTTAATCCAGACTTGAATCCTGGATGACAACCTGAAGGGTACATAACTTTGCTAAATTCTGCTGGGAGAAAAATACAGAGACGCCTGTTTACATAAGCACTATGTTTCACATATGTTAACTCATTTCACATCTTTCAAAAACCCTATGGGGTGTGTTGGGGGTAACTCATGAAAGGTGATTTCACATAGCCAGTAAGTGGCTTAGCCATGATTCAAACCCAAATACTTCATTCCAGAGTCCACATCCTTAACCACTCTACTGTACATCAACCTGTGTGGCTTTTCTAGAGTCCCACTGTAATTAAATCTTTCTATATTCAAGCCTGGAAACTTTGGCTTCTTTATAAAGCATCAGAGGTCTTTTGGAGATTAGTGGTGGATGCTTCTTATCAGCTGTGTGCCACTGGGAACTAGTTCAGGGGAGGCATGCCTGTGCCCACACCTGAGCCCAATGTGACCTCTGTGGCTGCAGGCTGGCCAGGTCCTGGGATCAACCCCAGGAACCCAGCAGCTCCACCACCACCCCATTCAGTGTTGCACTCAGACAACCTGAGGCCACCAGCTTGGCCTTTGCCTCCTAGGAGCTGCAGCATCTGGCTTTGGAAGAAGCTTCAAATAATTCTCCAAGGTACTTGATAAGGTTCCTGACCTCTCCTCCTTGGCAGAGAGGGTGGTGAAAGGGGGCATGGGTTCTGGTGTTCGACTGGCCTGCATCAGAAGCCTGGTGCTCCTGTTCAGTGCTGTGTGGCCTTGGGCAGAACTGCTTAGCTCCATGAGCCCGAGTTCCTTCATCCCCTGGTAGACGATGGAGACGCTTCCCGGCACGCGTGTTGTGAGAATTAATGATGTACGTAAAGGACGCGGCACAGGGTAGGAGGTACTTGGTAGATTTTACTTTTATCACTTCCTTAAAAGTAGAGCCCTATTCCCAATCCGAGTGACTGACTGATGTCGTGTCCTAGGTGGCTCTGCCTTTTCCCCAAACACTAGTGCCTCTCTCTGCTGGTTGTTACTCCTTGAGCAATGAAAACACATCCCTCCATGCCGGTGAGTGTCCTCTCTTGTGCCTGGCCTCATTCTCCAACTAGACTCAAGTCTGGGACTGTCCTTTACACGTTTTCATATCCCTAGGCTTAACCAAGGACCCCAAACAGTAAGTGGTCAGTAAAAGACTGTTGATGAGAGACTAACAGAAGTTACTTCGCAAGGATTTATGGAGTGTTTACCAAGTGTCGGGCAACGGGCCAGGCTCTGAGAAGAGCGAGGTGATTTAAAGCCCAGCCAAAGGAGCTCCTGCTCTGACTAAAAGCTCCTGCTAAGGCCTAGAACGGGTAATGCACCTTTTCGTCCCAGGGAATGACTTCCTCTGTTGAGGAAGTCTGGTTTACTGTGTCTCAAACAAGAGGTAAAGCCAAGTCCACAGCCCAGAGCCTTTTCACTGTGGAGAGTGCATATGATGGCACTGAGTGCCCGAGGACCCTGGGGCCATTCGGACCTCACAAGCTGTTTTTGCCACCTGCTCTTTAAGACCAGCCCAGCAGCCCCTGCCCTCCATGGTGAGCACAAGGACACAGCCCACGCTGTCCTCACCACAAGGGGTCAGTGTAAGACCGCCCAGGCTAGAGAAGTTGGTCAGTGATGGACTCCCTCCCTGGGACTCATTCCAGCCATGCAGCATTTGAATGATTTGTTCTTGGGTGCAGTGGATGAAAAGAGAGAGAGTGGGTCAGAAAAACTGAAACTATCTGTTGAATTCACAAGTTGCTACAGTATGAGTTCAAACAATGTTTGACTATTTTTAGTGCAAAGACAGGTGATTTGAGGGGTTTGGAAAACAAAGCACCATCTGGAAAACCAAGAGATAAGTGAGGAAATACAATGCATTAGCAAAAACTTTACTCTTTCATTTGCAAAAACAAAATGACTTCTCCTCTCCCCCACCCCCTTCTCAGGAAAAGGAAGGCCTTCAGGAATTAGAAGAAATGCAATTTACTGACCAAGCCTCCCTCTGCAACAGAAAAAAGAACCTGCCCTCTTATCTGGGTTCAGAACTGGCAAGCAACATCGGCGTGGGCACTTCATAAACATTCACTGACGAAAATGTCGACAGTGCAAAGCAACCATTCTGTTATTTCAAGAACCCTTCTGAAATGCCGGTGATTGAAGCAGGATCTTGACTATCCTTTGCAAATCTTGAAGAAGAAAAGCCCCATTCAGCTGGCCACATGGAATAAAACAAGCACAGTGGATTAACCTCTCCTGGAGCTGGGACATATTCTCAAAGAGCAAACCGAAGCAGTGGGTAGGATTTTTAAAACGTCCCAAGCAATGGGGATTCAGTGCCTCCACCTTGTAGGGAAAAAACCCACCTTACTTCACTTTGCACGGACACGCAGGCTGCGCCTATGAACAGAAATGGCTGAAGCTGGCATGGGGTGCGGTGGGGGGGGGGCGGGCTGGAGGGTGCAGTTGGTTTTAGTTAACATAAACCATCCCGATCGTGATGTATCAGTCGAGCTGAAAGACATTCAGGGAGAACATGGTGAAACCAATGGGTTGGTATGTTGCCGGGTCAAGGTCTGCTTGTTTTGGCCCGGGTACACCTGGCCTTGGCCAGTGTGATCTTGATAAACAGAAAGGAATCCACCTCCATAACCACAGCCCAGAAAGCCTGTGTTGGTGAAGCCGGGGTCTGGCTGAATTGGACTAGGATGGCTTGGAGACCTTCCATCAGAGAGCTGGGCTCTGTCTGCCCCTACAGAACCTCTTCTGCTGGTTCTAAGAAGTACTCTTCCTGTGTCAGTGGTTGGCTGACGCAGGCCAGAGCAGGGGTGGAGCAGCCACAGCTTGGGTGTGGGCCTGGGCTATCTTCAGCCTGGAACAGGACAGCTCTATTTCCTTACACCAGCTTCCCATCCCCGCTGCCACGCTGCCCCTCCCCCCATGAGTAGCCTCACATTTTCTCAGCAACAGAGGGGTGGTGGGGCGAGTGCCTCCTTCGTCCCCAGTCCCCCGTGCTGGATCGTTTCACACACACACACACACCCCTACATGAGGATGGCTAACAGCTGAAGTCCACATCAGGGCATCAACCCCCTAGTCAGCCTGGTGATGCCTGAACAGGCTGGGAGTCCCCAGGAAAACCACATCACTTGCCACAGCTTTAGCCCCCTGACCTTGGCCTCACATATAGGCCTCTACTTCTAGTGCCCACCCCTCCCACCTGCCCCAACTACCACCTCTGACCTTATCCAAATCTGCCCTTCCATTTGTCCCTCAGATACTGCTTGACCATGTATATGTGCAAGACAGACCCCTCCTGGGAGAGGTGGCTGTGGCACTCTCCTCTCAAACCCAAAGACCGGGGAAGGAAAAGAACATGAACTGAGTCTTTGCTTCGTGCCGGGAGCTTTAGAAGCATGATCTTTCTTAATCTGGCCCTGCTACCTTAGAGGAAGGCCCCATTATTACCATAATAGCTGGCGCCACGTGGAGGTCAAGAGCAGGGATGCTGCTGCCTGCATTTCAAGTCCGGGTTTGTAACCTTGGGCCGGTGATTTGACCTACAGGCCACGTCACCAGGAAAACGAGGATCAGGTTACTGTGAGCATTAAATGAGTTAACTCATGTAAAAAGTGCTAAGAGCAGCCCTACGGAAGTGTGAGTCACTGTTATATAATATCAGCTACTGTGTGTTCAAGATGAGAAAACAGAGGCCACACAAGCACGTGTAGAGCCTAGGTTCTGGTGGGCTCCATACCAGGGCCCTCCCTCCCCGCATTACATGCTGCTTCGCTTTGACACTAGCGTGTCACCCCCTTCCAGGGAGAGTTCCCTCTGGCTGATACCTGGAGCCTTAAAAGTGAGTGTGGAAGAGAAACTGGAGAACAGGAGCCACAGAGTCTCGTCTGGGCTCCGCAAGTCACGTCCCGGGGAGCTGAGGATTACCAGTGACCAGCAGTGCTCCAGTCCCCATCTCTGGGCAGGAGGGTCCTGTTGGTTGTGGTTCTGGAGAGGGCTGGCTCTGTCACCTGCTCCTTCCTCTCCTCAGAAGCAGGCTGAGACCCCAGGATTCCATCCCTCCTCCTCA